CGTTAATAAGATATATTTCTCTGTATTATTTTAAAACTAAAAAAGAATACGAAAAGATTGGATTTATAAAGTGTGTTTGATGCAAATTCTATGTTTCACCTGCTTTAGGATGATTGTTATCAAAGTTTATAAAATTACAGAACAACATGACAAGTGATCGAGTTTATTTTATTGTAATTGCTTTTGTACACTAATAAATAATATGCATAATATATTCCTCTATATCATATAAATATCTCTTGCCATCTATATAAATATACAAAGATATAAAAGGAATCTTTTGCATTAGCTTACCTATAAGCGGAGGGTTTGCAGTTAATGGTACTATAAGGCTCATGAAGACTAAAAACACGGCGATGATTAATATAGTACATGCTGCAACACTGACTTTTATTTCACTTTGAGGTGGTAACCAAAACGTGGCCAGAACCAGGAAAACTATAGCTGAAAGTTCATATATCATAAATAACATATATTTAATTAAATTTTAAGACCGAAGCTGAAATATAAGTTTAGATTTTGAATTAATCTCATCATAATCGATTAATTTAAATCGTGCTACATACTGTTATGAATCAGGTTGCTGTTAACCACGTTTTTCATTTCAAAATTATGTTATTGCATAAGATTGTAAAATATTTTATTTTTATAAAAGAAGATTTACAACAATACAAAGCCAAGAAAAATAATAAAATAGAAATAAAAAGAATTTATATTAATATTTATTTTAATATTTCATTTAATTTAATTATTTTAATATTTCACATAGTTTTTATTTTAATAAAAATTTTTTATATTTATTATTATTTTATATTTTATATTAAGTTTTATATTTTTATTGAAACAGAGAGAAAGAAAAATATAAGTTAGACTTTTATTTTTTATTTAATATATATATTTATAGTATTCAAATAAAAATGAGAAAAGATTAATTATGTAACGTATTGCATATTTTATTATGATATATTGCAACATAAAAGGTTTCTTTAGGTTCTTTATATTTTATATCAAAATATTTCTGGATAAAATATAAAATATCTTGTAAAATATCTTCTAAAATATTGATTTTTTTTATTTAAACATTTTTATATGCAAAATAATTAAAGAATTTACTTTTTATGCACTACCGCTCATTAATTTTGATCCCAGATTTGTTAATTTCTCTAGAAAGGATGAATATGATACGTGTGTTTTGCACAGAAACGAATCTATTGCTGTTGTTGTGTAAACACTTTCAACACTAGCATGCATTGTATTTATTTATATAAATACATTACATTATTTATGTACATTATTTATATTACATTATTTAGAAATCTTTGAAAACTGTTGCTTTCGAAGAAACGGAGCTATCACCGGCTAGTGTTTGATCTCTAGAAATAAGCAAAATACTCGTGCAATCACGAGATGCTCGTAGTGTAGATGCTCTTAGTAGATACTTGCTCGATGCTGTTTTGAAACGAATCATCATATTATTATTATTAATCCATACACAATGAAAGAACTTCGATGTTCACTTTGTAACACTATGAAAACTTGTGTAAACGTGTAAAGTTTCTCAGTAAACAGCATTTGGAAAGGTTGTCAATCGAAAAGCGATCTGTCATAATCGCTTTGAGAAATGTAGACGTAGAGCATAGTTGGTGCGAAATTAATTGCCTGTAGACATAGACAACCGTCGAGTGAGGGCATAAAGTAGGAGGGCAAATTTGTCAGAATGTATTGTAAATGTATATATCAAATGGGACACAGATTCTAAACAGCTCGCCAGATCCGTACTGACTCTGATGGAAACGAGGAAGAAAAGCGTGTAAATTACGATTATCAAATATCACCTTGTAGCCGGTGGCTTGCGGAGATTGTGTTACAACTCGAGAACTGTTGTCAAACCGTTAGTTGTCAACGGTTGGTTTATCGATTTTGATTGTTAAACCATTATTAAAAAGAAGAGGCTATTGTGGGCTAAAAAACAAGAGATAGACCACTAGTTAGAAGAAGAAAGTTCTTTTCATAGACAAATCAAAGTTTGAGTCCAAGAACAAGTTCATTCGTTATGCGACAGGTTTCTTGTTTGCATTCAGCCCACAGTCAAGCATGGAGATGGTTCTATCATGGTTTAGGAATGTTTCAGAAGTGGTACCTTAGAAGTTGGTAACTTGGTAAAAATCAGGAAGACGGAATCATAGACTCCAAATGTTATTATAATATCCTGATACGTCATTCCATTATTTCAGACACTTATTAGTCATTTTACACTAGAGCAAACTAACGATAATATCCAAAACATATCTTCAATCCTTGCAAAAAGTATGTTCAATCAAAATAATAGGTTCTGAAGAATATGATTTGGCCATTTCAGTGTTTTGATTGTAATTCAATTAAACTCTTTTGGAAACATCTGAACAAGTGCATTGAAGATGTATGTATGTATGTATGTACAACGAGTCAAAATCACCTTTGAAGATTGTTACAAGGAAAGTGGGCTGCAATCGAAACTGAAACTTTAAACGAATTGTTACTGCTAAGAATGAATACATTGATGAGAGAAAACTTTAAGGAAATCAAGGCTTAATTCATTTTTAAACAATGTGTATGAGTAGAAAACATGTTTATTTATTTCATTATTAATAAATCCATATTTATCATAAGCTAGTTTCTTTTGTAAGTAGTTTTTCTTTCCGAAAAATCAACGATTTGGGTGATGTGTTGAAATTAATGAACAATAGTTACATTAATAAAACATTATATGATTTTAAAAATTGATAATATTAATGTATAAAAAACAATATATTGTAAAAATTTTATTACCTATATCGATACATATTCCCGACTTAAAAACTATGAAATCTTGTAACATTATTTTTATATATGAGAAACGATTAAAATATGATCTTTAGAGACGATTAAAATGATTTATTTTATATAAGACACAATCTTTCCTGTCTAAACAATAATTACTCACCGGCAGCAGGCATGAGCAATGTACTGCAATAAAGCGCTGAATTTCTTTTTAAAGTCATCTTAAAATTCAGATTAGTGTATGGTTCTGGACAACAGGAATACATGACCGATGCACGCGATTTGCTCACATCCAATAATTTCCACTTCGCATTTTTCACGTACAAAGGTTCCTATTATCATATGTAAGGATTTTAACATTTTTATATGACATATAATACATCTAATAAATTATATTAGTATAAATTATATTAATTTTTATATAATATATATTTTATATCCAGAGTAATTTATGTCAATATACAGGGTGGGATATTTAAAGCGTTACAAGTTGATATCTTTGAAAATATGTATAATAAATAGCAAAAATATTTCAGACAAAAGTTGCATGGTTTTAAAGGGAACATAAGAGTGTGTTAATGACTTGATCTTGAGTAATCGTTTGAAGATCACATTAAGTTCACCTTCAATTTCTTAAATGGAAACCCTTATTTTTTATTGCATATTCTTATAGCTTATCTCATAAGTTTCTCAAAACATTCTAATAAAGTACTTTTTAATACATACTTTTTAAGTTACGAGACTTGAATTTGCAATTTCAAATATGTTTTATATATATATATATATATATATATATATATATATATCATAACATATCATACATAACATATTTGAAATTGCGTATTCGGAAGGAAGGGACCCCTCTATGATCTTCAAAAGTACGCACTTTCAGGAAAAATGACCTGAATAAAAGTTGTAGGGTTGTTGTAGGGTCATGAAGAATTATCTTTTGGTAGCCTTAAACTTGACTTTGAAAATCGTCTAAAGATCAATATTGAATTTTTAAACTTCCTTTTTTGATTTCGAATTTGAAAAGGGCGATAAATTTTACATTCAGATACGTTGTCACGTCAAAATGATCAAAGTGATCCCTAGGAACTATTTGGAGGTCAAATTAGTGACAGTCATAGAATATGTAGTAAAGAACGATATCGAAAAAACTGAGCCGAATAAAAGTTGAGAGCTTACAAAATTTAACTAAATAAGGTCCCAGGAAATTGATATTGCTAAGCTCTCGGGAACTTAGAAAATTCGACTAAATAACATACAATATGTAAATAAATAAAAATAAAAAATATTTAATTTTAAAAAAGATCTTTATTATATTTTTTTTCTGAGAAAATTGTGATTAATAGTGTATGTTATATAAAATATTAGAATAAATAACTAAAATATTTAAATATAATATTTTTCATATCTAATATTTACCATATCTTCATTTTCTCTCAATCGCATATCGATTTGCTCGCCATGAAACGTCCAGGAACCAAACGTCATGTTGCAAACTTGAGTGTCAAAAGGCCACAGACGAAAATCTAATTCGCAAAGTCCAATAAATTGCGCCGGTGGCACCCATAACACTTGACCATCATGGTAGATGATGCAGTGCGTATCACCATAATGCTCGACTGTACCTGCAGTTCCACTATATAAAAACATATCGAAGAATTTTCTGATTAAAATCAGATAAAGAATTATATCATCAGATACTTGGATAATTTAATATAGATTTAATATTTTCCAGATTCCCAAGTACAAATAATTCATAAGAATTTAATAACCGGTCTGTTTACATTCGGTTTGATTAAATATTATAAAAATATATATATATATATATATATATGAAAATACTGGCGAAAATATCAAACAGTTTCATAGTACTATTTTTTTAAATATCTGTGTAAGAACTGAGTACAATTCTCTGAATTGTTTATAAATCATTCAATATAATTAAATTTGCATTGATTGTCACAAAAGAAGAGTGTATTGTAATATAATATGTACACATGTATATTCCTTAATTCTATGGAATTTCAAAAAAAGTAAACTTACATATGTATAACTTACATATGTATTGTGTTTGATATTTTTGTGTTATAATTTCAAGAATTATTTTAAATATTTGCATAGTTTTTCTAAAAAGAATTGAGATAAAATATTGTATACCTGTGATATAACAAAATATCCGGTTGCCATACTTCATGACTTCCCACATGGATATTTTGGATATTGCCATATTTTGTGGGATCCCATTTAAGTTTCTCATCTGTCCATACCTATGTATAAAACAGAAATTGATAAATTTTGAAATAAATATTTAGTACATTGACAATTTTAATTAGTAAGCATTGATAATTGTTTGTAACATTAAGTGTCAAACCATTTTATTATTTCTACAAAAGATTTAATGTCATCAGATATCAATTTCTACTTCTAATTAAAATAAAAGGATCTTATATAAAAAATAAAAAGATTTTATTATTGAAAACTAATACCAGCGTATATATTTGTTAAAAATCTAATAATACATAATTATTGTACTTATATCTAAAGAAATACAAAAAATTCTGATATGTGAAATAATGTATATACTCTCGAATCCAATCATTGTATGTACATCAGTTTGGTCTTAAGAAATCTCTATGTTTAAAGTTTACAATAGAATGTATAACCGAATAGTATATTATATATATCATGCAATATTGAAACTATTTTAGAAATTTAATATTTATCAGTTGGAAAAGTGTAAATTTAATAAAATGTTATTATTATTATTATAAAATTATTATTATAAAATTCATCAGATTTTTTATAATATATAATTATAATTATTGACTACAAGTTTGTGTTAATTCTGATACATACATGAGAAGCCCATCCATTGACAGTGATAGTTGATTTGAAATCATTCTGAAAGTCGGAAAAAGTCGATATAGAAAACTATATGTATAGAACTATATAGTTATATGTATACATTTTGATATTATGCATACTTACTATATTAATATAAAGTAAAGCAATGTCAAAGTTGACCACCGTAGTATTAAAATGTTGCGTTGGTCGAGCAAACTTATCGTACTTCACGAATAGATCTTGCTTTAATCGATCGGTCCAAGTATAATTCCACATAGGAGATCCTGTTAATCGTCGAGGAACACTGTCAGAAGCTATAATCTTATTATATGAGATACAATAATTTATACTTTACTTATATATTTTTTTTTCTTGAATTGTTATTACTTCCTACAAGTTTTCTTTATATATTCAATGTTTTCACATATATTTACGTTTGCATATTTTATCATAAGATTATTTTTAACATTATAATGTTACTTTTTATTTCGTTATGCATTTTATTATTTATTTTATTTAAATTGTATCTATTTGTACAAACTTATTATTATTTTGCAAACATCATCGACTGTACGTGACACATACGTGTTTTGAAATACTAGGACTCATTTATTCCCACAATTTGCTTTGAATGACAGTACAAGTGGATAAATGATAAACGATCTGTAATCGGTGGTAAATAAGGAAGCATGAATGTCTGTCGACGAGGAATATCTCTATTATCATAGGTATATTTTGTTGATGTGATTTCAACAACTCTAACTTATGAACATGATATTAAAAAAACTGAAAAAAAACATGTAAGCTAAAAATTGTAACATGAACTGATAATAGTGTTGATAATAATATAGCTGAAGGGGATACTCTA